TTTAAAATCATCGGAGGTGATTTTAATCTGCCAATAAGTACGCGGGGTTTGACTCCGGTACCAGGTCGATATAACAAGCTAGTTGAAACACTAGAAATTTGTGGATGGGTTCAACAGATCCGAAAACCGACTAGGGGGAATAATATACTTGATTTATTGTTTACAATCAACATAGACTCTATCTCAGTGCATACCAGTCATGATAGTTTTATGAGTGGTTATCGAGTTGTATTGAGAATTATTCATTCTCTAAACACCATACAATTTAACTCTAAAGCTTTAATGATGTACCAGAGCAGACATTTTTATCAACAAACCTGGAAACGGACCAAAACTCTCACTCAATGTTTACCATGGAAAACTTATTTTACCACAAATAATGTTGACATTGAGCTTTCTAATCTATACCTGATATACTGCCTTGACTGCACTGCTCCAGTTATTGGCCATGTGGCTTATAATGCTAATAGGGGCCATAATGCTTTTAAAAGAAAGCTGAGAAAATTAAAACGCCGCTACTTCGAGCACAATGACATGTACACACTTCAGAGTATGCTTAAATTAATCGACAGAAATGCTTCATTCAAACGCAAATATTTTATGAATATAGAAAATAAAACCCCACGTAGTGAAAGCTCAGAATTTTCTGTAGCAACGTAAAAGTACAGGGATAAACCAGGAAAATTCAGAAACATATGCATTCATTCAGCTAGTCGTCACAGAATCATGGCTATCATGAATACGCAGGTACGCTCTCAATTTTCTTCATCATGATTTGCCTCCAGTTATAATGTTTTCCCAGCCGATTCTACACCAACTTCTCTCAATGGGCAATTTTCAGGGGAGACTTGACAAATATCTGCTCATCTATGGATTACCAGCCGTCTCTTGAGCCAGCTGTTTGATGTATTTCGTAAATTGCTACAGTTATCGGTGTTGCGCATCAGTAGCTAGTTCTCATGCCTCTCATCTAATTTTTTCAGTTCCTTCATCTTAAACATTAACGATTGAGTAAATTATTTAATTATTCTTGAATCGATTATCTTCTATCAGCCATCGAATTATCACTTTTGTTTTTACATTGCAAGAAGCGGGTCTCCTACCTGGCACTGTGATAGCTGCTGGTGTACAGAAACCTTACTATCCCTTGACAAACACACTCACCTAAACTAAAAACCCGCAAATATCTACCAAACTGATTAGGATTAGTGAAATCGAGCGGGTATTACGAAATACGTGGAACCGTACCGAAACTAAAGAAAGCAAGCAAAGAAACCATTTGGTTTATGCAAACTTGTGACAAAGATGTTAGTATTGAAAGACGAACACCGGAGAGAAGTATGCAACCGAGAAGATGAAGTGGCACAAAAAGAGGATCTGACTCGGCTTCAACGTTGGGCAGATGACAGCAGACACTTCAAAGTGTAAAGTAGTTCATCTGAGACATATTGCAGACTACAACTACAACTTTGATCACCCTCTTCTAGAGGTATTTCAGTTTGAAAAAGATCTAGGCGTGTCGTCCCTTACGATCCGAAGTATTACGCCAACTGCGACAAAAGCGTCTTTCCAGAAAACCCTACACTGGTAAAGTTGAAATTTCTTTTCGGTCATTTTAACGGAAAAACTCTTCACGTAACCCTCAACAGTTTTATTCATCTCCATTTGAAGTACGACAACATAGTGTTTCCTCCGTCACACCAAAATGGTTAGGGACACTCAGGAACGTATCCATTGGAGAGCCATGAAATCAGTTCGGGAACTGAAATTCATATCTTATGACGAGAGCTTCTGATCCCTGAACGTTTGCCAATTAAAGTGTAAGAGTCCTAGAGATGACTTTTAATGAATTATATGATCTTAAACACTTCTGGATAACCTCCCAAACACTTAATTAAGCTTAGTCCCAATACCAAACTTAGGGGTAGCATAAAAAAACTGGAGGCACAATGTTGCAGAACGGACTGTATATACACCTTCTACTCCTTACGATTAGTTACGTTCTGGAATCCGCTGCCGGCTGAGCTATTCCAAGCGACTTCCCATGAGTCTATTAAGAACTTTAAGGACGAAGGACAGTATCTTACTATGATTTACGAACGTTTCTCTTATTACTTTTATCATTCATACACCTAGGTTCCTCCACCTAAAGGCATCATTGATCCACTTCTACTAGATACGGAAGGCCGTCAAGTGAAAGCGTCTTTTATTCTGTCCACAACCACTTGAACCTTATGAAATATATTTTTTAAATATGTCTATTTCCTAGTAATCGCGGGACAACCTGACATAATTCTTGCTGATTGATCTGTTAACCTCAACAGGGCAATCAAAGGTTTATAAAAGTTTTCCTATAACTAGGTAGGGGATAAAAACAATACCCTGGTTATCCTAGAGTATCACATAGAAGTGCCAATTTAAGGCCTTCACTCATAGGAGGGACATCTGATTTCAGGGTCGTTTGGTTGGATTACTGTAATCAGACTTTATACTGACTTTCTTCTTGTTAACAAAACCAACTTTAAGACATATAACACCAGTCTAACACCTTCTACGATTTTTGTTGGCTTGATGAGACCCTGAGTGCCAAGTCCTTCCACTCGTCAGTAATTTAATAACTATATACAATTACTTGGTATATTATTTTTCTAGAATGTATATGAATACATATATAACAAACAGTGTCTAATATAAATGGTTGGCGTTCAGTGCATAATACTTTTACAACTATCGACAAGACAGTCACTTAACTGTACAAAGCATTTGGGGATATTGATTAGTCTAATATGTCGCGTCGTACGGCTATTTATTTGTTTAAACACATAGACATTGGTACAAGGAGGCACCAAATAAATAAGCTCTACATAAATTATTCGGTTTATGTAGGGGACATGATACTGTCCGGTTACCCAGCCGAAGCAAGTGGTTTTCTTAGGAGTCTTCGACCTAAAAGTCTAACCCACAAGGCAGTGAACCAACGTAGGGAGATACAGTCCCCTGGTAGCTGGTGCCAACAATAGGTTCATACGTCATTTATTCCCTCAGAATCCTGACTGCTATGTGTACCATTGGTTTGTAATCAGGGTTTTCCAACTCCCCTTGACGGATCCTCTATGTCCACTAACCCTGTTAAAGCACCGAAAATTCACTTTTCATCCTTTCAGCGATGCTAACTTTAATTGACTTTTTGGGATCGTCTCATTCTTATCAACCTTTTCAACAGTTAAAACTCAGCACTATCAAATACTTAAGACAGTCTTTCATATAGTCTAAGAACTCAGTCAATGCGAGCAAAGCGAAGTTTTCCCAAACTAAGTGCTTGCTAGTTTGTTTGGGATGGGGTGAAAATATACTTTTCAGTAGACATAGTAGTTATATTAGGTGACTTGAATGCGGAAACCTAATTCAACTCTTCATCCACACTACTATATACATAAACTAGCCACTCGGATGTACCACCAATGCTGTCTTTTATTGTAAATCAGTTGCCTACTAGTATCAAGGGTTTAATAGCAGGTTTTTGAACCATTGAAATCTCTTCGGAAGACGATTTGTAGTTGGGTGATAGGTCGTCGCATTAATGTAGGAGACTTCAAAATCGTTAGATTTGTAAGACTTTTAGGTACTTGCTGCCACTTGAGATGTCGGCTTGGAGACTGTTGAGTGTGGATCATCTTTCTGGAGCTTAGTTAGATAACTTGTATATTCTTCTAGTGTGTAGTAGGTTTTATCATACTTTGTGACAAAGCACTATTTTATTTATTTTAACACAAAGTTGTATACAGGGAGGCACCAAATATATATGCGCCACACAAATCTCATTTGATTTGTGTGAGGGCCATGTGAGAGCATTTGGAGAGGGAGAGTGGACTCTCTTCATTCTCGGCCGTACCAGGGCATTTGGGGGCGACAAAGCACTTACCGCTCCTGAATGCTCTGGTGCGACCGAAAGTGGGGACAGTCCGCTCTCCCTGTCGAGGTGCTCTCACATGACCACGCGTATACAGCCTCTGCCAGGAAAGTAATACTCACTGCTTTCTCGTAGCGGGGGTGTTGTCTACGAAGATGAGAGGAGGAAAAGCGAATGTCCGGCACTTTAACCGGTTTGGTGGACATGGAGAGTCCACCTAGGGAAGTTGGAAAACCCTGGTTCCAAACCATTGATGCACATGGGCTCCAGTGTCCTTAGGGAACAGATGGCGTATGAACCAATCGTTGGTCACCGGCTACCATGGGACTGCATCTCTTTACGTTGGTCCACTGTCTTGTGGATTAGACTTTTAGGTCGAAGGCTCGGGTTGTGGCCTCCTAAGAAAACCACTTGCTACGGTCTGGACACCCAGACAGTATCACACTGTGACGTTATCATTCGTCCAACTAACAAGTATTTCCATTCTATATACACTTAAAAACTTATGACGGGATAAAAAAGTGGTATTACTTTGCCTACTATTTTTTGTATCAATTCATTATGAAATTGGTCTAATGTGACTATTTTATACGTTGTATTGATTCATTATGAGCTACATATATGTTTTTATAATAACTGTGTATTCTTATATATAATATTTATTAGCTAATCAGTAAGTGTATGTAAAATCAATACATAAATGAGTGTATTTTGGGTTTAAGGACATTCTGTTTTGGAGATGTGTTTTTGGATTGTCGATAAGTCTTAGTTTGTACCAATCTTCCTTATTGTCACAGCATCATGGAAATTTTAGTGTTTCCCGTTTCAAAATATAAACAGTTAGTACGACAGTAACGATATAACCGCCTAAATGACCTACTCTCTGCAGGTACTAGGAACCTAGTATGTCGTTCACTTTTGTTACCGCTATCATCTTTTTCTGATACGCCATTTATTACATTATGATCAATAATTAGGCTTGTATCATCGTTTGGTATTAATCTACATATTAACTTTTCTTTCCAGATAAGCATTTCACAACCAAGTTACTTGATTGACGTTCAAAAAGCCTTAATTAAGTAGCTAAATAATGCCTTGTTACAAACAAGAAATGCCTCCTCCCGGAGGTTTCGCTCCAATTGATGTCTCAAGAAAAATGCCAAAAGGCTATGTACACGGTATGTCATTTTTGTTCCTTTCACCAAATTTTTTCCACAACCAACGGATTTACTAGCTAGCATGTGATATATACTTTTACAGCAGGCAAGTAAAGTTGGGAATAATGTGTCGGAGAAAACATATTATATTCCACTTCTACATCTTTACTGTTATTTTGTGTGCTTCTTTACAACGAAATTAACATTTCATATGTTGATTCTGATTGTTAACACTTGCCAACTGTCTCTAGCTTCGATAGTATCCGATCAACTGGATTATTGACTTTTGTAGTGTCTCAACAAACTCAATATTTTTTGGGGGATGTCTTAGAGAGGCCAATATCACTGGTAGACTACTCTCTAGGAAAAAAGTTCGATCCAACATTAAATCAACTCACTCTTAAACTCCTTTTGGGTTTCTCAGGCGTCACTAGGCTTATTTTGTTTGAAATGAAAATACTTGGTGCAACAGAATACGAGGAAAGTGCAATATAAAGTAAAATGAAAATATTGTGAGGGGATCATAGGGGAAAATTATGAGCGGAAAATGAATGAAAAGAATAATCGTTACTAAAGAACACAAATAAGAATGTAATAACGGTAGGTTTTTTTTATTTAGAAGTTACGTCTTACTGTTGACCTGAATTACACTGTAAAACATCCATCTTGACCGCCACTACCTTTCAATCTAGGATACGATTGATAATATCTGAAGTTGCCAAGTTGTATGGTATTTTAGACGTCATATCAAAAGTTTCAAATGCCCTGGTACGGCCGAGAGTGGGGAGAGTCCGCTCTCCCTCTCGAAATGCTCTCACGTGGCCATGCGTATATAGCCTCTGCCAGGGAAGTCCTACTCACTGCCTTCTCGTGGTGGGGGTGTTGTTTACAAAAATGAGAGGACGAAAAGCGAATGTCTGGCGCTTTAACCGGACCCCAAACCAATGGTGCACATGGGCTCCAGTATTCTAAAGGAACAAATGGCGTATGAACCAATCGTTGGTCACCGGCTACCATGGGACTGCATCTCCTCACGATGCTCCACTGCCTTTTGGGTCAGACGTTCAGGTCGAAGGCTTGGGGTGTGGCCCCCTAAGAAAACCACCTGCTTCGGTTTGGGCACCCGAGCAGTATCACAGCCCTCACACAAATCAATTGAGATTTGTGTGGCGCATATGTATTTGGTGCCTTCCTGTACCTATACTTATGTGTTAAAATAAATAAATAATAATATAAATTTCAAGAAATTCATGAGTGCCAAATTAGAGCAAAAATCATTCATTTCATGATGCCATGATCTAAACTGATCACCTATGATTTTTTTTCCATATAGTCCGAATGTCAATAAATAAAACTCACTATAAGGGCACCTGGAAAGATACATAAAATGCATGTAGTCAACTGGGTGTGGTATTTCAACTTATTAACATATTGGATCATGATTTTAATTATCTCTAAACACATTTCAAAGATTCCGGATTAGCTACGCAGTGTTAACACAGAAAATAATGAATTACTTGAGAACAGATTATTAAACGCACAGTATTTAATATACCTAAATCAGAAAGACCAAATTTTATTAGCGTAAACCAAAGCTATTTATACAACATCCTGCATCCAGTTTTTATAGCCAGATTAGCATCACGACGGTGTCAAAGGTAGTAGAGATTAGTATGTCATTCTGAGTTCTGCTGTCTCTCATACGTCACACCACTATAGTTTATGTAAATACCTATATACATGCAATCAACTGTTTTCATTGGGTCACTTCTCCAGATGAGTATAGGAAAACTGCAGGGTTTTGATAGTCTTATAGATGTACTTTCCACTTTTATGATCCAAAATGCATACTATTCCTATACACCTAGATGCAACAAAACAAGCGTTTGCTCCATATTAAATGTGCAAAATACCAATGTTAAAGGTTTTTTGTCGTACAATAAGAAAAGGAAAATATATAACGAGTTTCTATGAAGTTTAGTCAAGAAAGAATATAAGTCTGATTACCAAATACTTAGTGCAAGTTAAAATGTACTAATGTTCTTAGCATGGATGCCTTTAGAATTGAGAATTTAATATTTCTTCCTGACCGTTGCTGCTACCTTGACGTGGTGGTCGCGCTTGCCTATCGTGATGAAGCAACTGAGCTATACTGGCTGGAACAACCGTTCCTCAAGGTCCTACCATGCCAGACAGGTCGGTTGAAGAGCGGTAAAATTAAAAGCAACAAAACCATGGTCCGAAGGCGAAGTCCTACTGCTGACCGTACAGAGGTGTGACAGCAGTAAGATGTTTCCTTCAGACAACTAGCATAACAGCGATGCTGCCTTCCCAAAAGGAGGAGTGGGGTCAGAAAAGGTCGACCCTAAAAATTCACACCTCACCTTATCTCACGGATATCTGTCTCCGGCTAACACAAAAATTACTCATAAAAAGGTCGTGTGCGACCGACCTCAAGCAGCTGTCCCTTGGGCACTGCGGTCACGCTCTCAGGTCACTGTGACCACGTCTAATCCAATTTCCTTTTCAGGCACCTCCAGCAGAACCCTTCCACGGTGTGGGCAACCGGGAAGTGATAACCGCCCTCATACCACTAACAACACTCAGGACCACTGTATTCATAATCAACCTCCCTCTTCAATTCTTATTATTCCTCCTACATCGACTTTCAACACTAAACCTCCTCTTTTGGCTTCCTCTTCAAGTGTCACCATAGCCAACGATTCTAGTGCGCAAAACACTGTCTCAGGTCTACTGAAACCTTGCTCCAAACTACATATTGGAGCCTTCAACGTACGCACACTATGCCAAATCGGTCAGCAGGCTTCGTTGGCTAAAACCTTAGAATCTCGTACCATTGATGTATGCTGTGTCTCCGAAACACGCATGCAGGATCCTAGCGTGGTCATTCACTTGACCTCACCTCGGCAAAACGGAGACTCGACGAGATACACCCTCCGTGTATCTGGCGACCCGATGGCTTATTCTCGTGGACTGGCAGGTGTAGGCATAGCACTAAGCATGAGGGCGGAACAAGCGCTATTAGAGTGGATCCCCGTTAACAGTCGTCTATGCGCTGTTTGGCTAAACGGCTACGTAAGAACTCGGAAGGATAGGGACACACATCGTTGCCTTTTCTTTGTTTCTGCCTACGCTCCCACTGACTGCAGTTCGGATGAAGTGAAAGATGAATTTTACAGAAAACTCTCTGAACTTCTTCAGAAAGCTAAACGTTCAGACATAATACTCGTAGCAGGTGACTTTAATGCCCAGATAGGTAGCTTAAACGAAATAGAAAGACATTTAGGTGCGTATTTTAGTATTCCGGCAGAGAGAACAGATAGTGGTGATCGTCTGCTGCAACTTTGCTCAGACAATCGTTTATTTTTAGCAAACACAAATTTTAAGCATAAGGAGAGACACTATCTAACATGGCGACCCCCTGCACCAAACCAACGATGGACTCAAATAGACCATATTGCCATCAGTCATCGTTGGAGAGGGTCAATAGAAGATTGTCGCTCATTCCGGAGTACCTGCCATGACTCCGACCATGCCCTAATGCAAGCACGCATCTGCTTGCGCCTCACTAGACGCAAAAAGCCACACAAAAAAGACTCAATAGAACCGAATTGAGTAATGAGGAAACCAAAAGTAGGTTCCAGGAACAACTGAGGTCACGCTTAGGTAGTTCTGAAAACGAGGCTGATCCAGATGTTGCTTGGAAAGATACATGAACAGCTGTAGAAACAGCAGCGACACCTATTAGTGATTTGAACTGAAGGGTCACGAAAAACCAGTGGATTTCTACTAAGTCTATTGCACTGATAGATTCTCGTAAACTCATCCCATCAGGCTCTGAACACGATGAAGAGCGAAAGTGAATCAGATCTAGGTTAACCAAAAGTCTAAAGAACAACCGTGAGCAGTGGTGGGCAACGAAAGCAAAACAGATGGAAAAGGCGGCTATAGGAAACACAAGACAGCTCTTCAGACTAATTAACGAAACTGGAATTAATAAGTCAAGTGTAAGTGAGAGTATCTCGGAAAAAGACAACATTCTTATCTGCTCCCAGTTCAGACGTTTAGAACGATGGGAGGAACACTTTAGGAAGCAGTTCAGCTGACCTTCAGCCACTCTACAACTACCCACCATTCCCAGACAGTGTGAATGGAACATTGAAGTAGGTCGCCCAACTCTACCTGAAGTTCAAAAGGTCATAGTTAATCTGAAACGAGGAAGGGCAGCTGGTCCAGATGGATTCGCCCCACAGGTCTTTAAGGATGGTGGTCTAGTTTTAGCGATTAGGTTGACTAATAGTTTAGCTAAAATATGAGGTCTATATGTCATTCCATCTGACTGGTTCCAACCACTTATTGTCCCAATAAATAAGAAAGGGTCAAAATCATCCTGTGATAACCATATAGGGATTAGTTTTACTAATACAACATCTAAAATACTAGCCCCGATAATTATCGGACGCCTAACTAAGACTCGTGATCTGTAAACACGAGAAAATCAAGCTGACTTCAGACCTAGTCGTAGCTGCATAGACCACATATTCACCCTTCGTCAGGTTCTAGAACACAGGCATACTTATCGGCGTCCGACAACGGTGGTCTTCCTTGACTTAAAAGCGGCATTTGACTCTGCAGACCGAGAGATTCTGTGGCAGTGTCTGTCATTGAAAGGCGTACCTCAGAAGTGCATAAACCTTGTGAAGGTTCTTTACTCGAACACTACTAGTCGAGTCAGAGCTTATGTCAAACTGTCACCTGCTTTTACAACCTCAAGTGGTGTTCGTCAAGGCTGTCCATAATGATGTCCTAATAGGATCTTGTTCCGGTTGCACAGTCTTGTGAGTCGTTGAACTTTTAATATCGAAACTGTCCAAGAAGATTTGCCACATTGAGCTGAGTTTCTCGGTTTTCTGTTTAGTACCAGAATTTTCCAGTATGTGTTTGACATGACGTGTCCACTTTTGACCTTCAACTTCCACCACATACATTACATTTCCTCGTCTCTTAAGTATGCGTCCACTGGTCCATTGTGGAGGTGAGTATCTGAAATCACGGACGTACACTCTTTGGTTATTTTGGAAGATTCTATTTTTCGCCCTATGATGGCGATTAAATTGGATCTCCATCTTTTGATTTCTTCTTCCTATAACATTTCGCTCTGGTTTTATTGCATCGAGAGCAGTCCTAACTTTTCTACCAAACATAATTTCTGCTGGAGACATTTGATTTGGTTCTGACGGGTTTGGAGTTGTTCTGTAGACTAGTAGAAAATCATCAAGAAGTTCCTGTATCTTCCCCTCCCCTTTCGCCTTCAGTAGCGCTCTCTTGAAGGTATCCACAAACCTTTCGGCTTAATCATTCGATTGTGGATGGTATGGAGGTGAACGAACATGTTTGACTCCAAATCTCTTGCAGAAATCTGAGAAGATGGAAGAAGTAAATTGAGTACCGTTATCCGACACAAGGATATCTGGGACTCCAAAACGGGAGAATAACTGCCGTAATTCCATAATAGTGTCTTGCGAAGTGACTTGGTTCATAGGGAGAATCTCCGGCCATTTTGAGTAAGCATCGACACAAACGAGGAAATATGTACCCTGAAATGGGCCAGCAAAATCAATGTGTACACACGACCAAGGTTTCTTTGGAGATATCGTCGGTATTTGAAAAGAAACAGAAGACTTTGGTGTGGACATAACATTGGCACAAATTACATGAGGTTCTGAAGTCTTACGCGAGCATACTTTGTCTGAGGCATTTGATTGGGAATCATTGTGAGGATATGTTACATCGGAGGAATTTGATTTGGGAATCTTATGAGAACATAATAAATCAGAGGTATTCGACTTAACATCATCATGAGAACACATTACATTGGAAGCATTTGATTCAGAAAGATTATGAGAACATGTTTCATCAGAAGCATTTAATTCATGAATATTAAGAGAGCATGATACATCGGAGGCATTTGATTTAGAAATATCTTCAGGAATTTTGATAGACTCAAAGGAAGCATTTTGAGAACATACCTCATTTAATAATTTATTCAAGGTATCAACCTTCTCAATCCAGTCTAATCCTAATAGATCTAAATCGTGCCGATTTGTAAGATAACAGACATCGGTGAACTTATGTCCCATGAATTGAACGTTGCATGTGACTTCTCCTGTCAACTTCACTATATCTCCTGAAGCATTACAAGCAACATGTTCTGTTGGTCGGATGCGTGGACATCCCAGATTACGCCATGTGTTTTTGGAAATCAGTGTAACATCGGAAGCCGTGTCCAATTGAAGACGTATGAGTTTTTCATTCACTAATAAGTTTACGTACTTCCGCTTACTTTGAAAACCAACTTTGAAGTTTGCGAACGTGCTTTTAATTTGACTCTGTGGTGGTTGCTTCGCATTTCCACTACGACACTTAGACATTTATTCGATGAGCAATGACCTTCTTTATGACCAATGCGATGACATTTGCGGCATTTGTGATTCTTGAACGGACATAGTTTCGCAAAATGCCATGCTCCACCGAACCAACATGGTGATGGGGGTTTGACAGAAGGTAGTTGTGTGCTTTTAGTGTTTTGTTTGGACGATTTTGAGGATCTGAGCGCATTAATTGAATCAAAATCGGAAGGTTTAGCCTTCTGTTGCACCATCGCGGTATCATGCTTGAGATTTATCAACCGCTGACCCTCGGTTGTGACCATTTGTAGTGTCATATTCGGTTCCTGTTCAATGCGTGCTAACATCCTGGTACGGATATCTGCATCTTCTGCATTCTTTAAACCACATATGAAAATCAAGCATTTGAATTGGTCAGCTGTAATCTCGTTTATTTTGAATAATTCGCATTCTCGATTTACTTTCCCAGCATATGTGAGATAATCATCATCTGAGGATTTCGATATATGGAAACATCGATAGCGAGTATTAAATAATGAAGATTGTTCGCCGAAAATGTCAGATAAAATTTGGACTGTCTCTTTGAAAGATAAATCTCGCGGATTTCGTGGTAGGATGAAATTCACATATTTGTTGTATTTACGTGTTCCGAGTCTTCTCAGGAGTAGGCGAACTTTGGCTGCGTCATCAAGATTCGAGCATTCCACACGGAATATGTCTTCACAACGGTGAAACCAGGAATTGAAAATGATACCAGATTCAGGACCGTAATGGAATTCACAAATAGAATTTGTGATGCATTCATACTTATCTGATTGATAAGTTGTGGATGAATGTAATGAAAGCTTCTGCATCAGTGCATCCAAAAGCTTCATTTGATTTGCATCATTTTGCGCTTGCTGGATTTGTAGAATAGTTCTAGGGTCATCCAGAGATAGACATTTTGTTCTGGATCAATCAATATAGAAAAAAATCTCCGTCGCCACTTTGTTATGACCTTGGTTTGTCTACCCACTTTTGGTGCCGAGGATACTTGTCTAATCTAGATTTCGACCTTGATGCGATAGGCTGATCGGCTTAACCTTGAGACGCGTGAGTTCGAGTTGGGGTAGAGAGAAGAAAACTATTCTGTCACCTGATTGGTGGGCAAGCACACGAATGAGGGAAGACAAGACAATTGGAACACTACTCGATCTATTCCCGACTTCACTGTAATTCACTGGATTCAGATTAGTGTAAAAAGGTACATGAATAAATAAGTGAATAACCCGACCGCAACGTACAATAATTAGGAAAAATACAATTATGTTCAAAGTTGGGAATTACAGTAGAAAATAGGGTGTAAAAAACGTTATGTTTAAATTACAATAGCTTTGGAACAGAAAACAGTATGGCAGTGAATGATACATCGAACGAAAGCTTATGTTCTGTAGAATAGATTAGGGACAAAAATAAATGTCAGTGTTTTACAAGCTTTGAATAAAATGAAATAACGTCCCGAAAAATAGCCTTCGTAGTTTGTCAGGGCTTCTTGTTTTCCGGTTCACATCACCAACTTACGTCATCTATGGCGAAGGCGAGATATCCGTCTATCAATTAAGGGATGAATATACTGGGCGGCAGTTCGTTCCGTTCTACTATATGGCTGCGAAACATAGCCATTAAGAGTAGAAGATACTCGTAAGTTGCTAGTATTTGATCACAGATGTCTTAGAAATATTGCGGGTAACTGCTGGGATCACTGGGTAAGTAATAGTGAGGTTGGGCTCAGGGTATTAGGGAATGATGGTAAATCAGTTGATGTGGTTATGAATCTTCATCGACTGAGATGGTCGGGCCACGTGCTGCGTATTCCTGAACACCGATTACCACGACGCGCAATGCTAACCGGTGTTAGGGATGATTGGAAGAAAGTTAGGAGTGGCCAAACCAAAACGTAGCATCAGTACTTGAAGTCACTAACGTCTGGTCTGAGCCATGTAGGTAGATGCAGACTACTTGGTCGGGGTCCGCGTGACCATTGTAACCAATGGTTGGAGACTCTTGGTGACATGGCTCAGAATCGATCACAGTGGCGTAGGTGTATACACTCTTTGTCTTCCTTCAAACTAAGAGATTAAAATCGCTTCATATGTTTCTTTCTAGGAACTAATTCTTTCTTCCTGTACTATGTCCTTGTATGCAATCTTTCTTCAATATATTACCTCCACTGAATTAACTACTTTATGAATCCGGTGTTCATCTTGTTGTGATGATGCAGTATGGCAACTTGGACCGATGCATATATGTGCCTGGTCCTACGCTGCAGCCATTTAATATTTCTTAGTTTAGCGGCTCATAATATCACCAGCTTATTCTCTTTAATGATTTCACAAAACTTGGACTGCAACTATCTTATAAGAGCCCGGTCTGTTTTATTCATCCATAATAATAATTCGTAAATCGATCTCACTAGTTTGAATCAACGATTAGTAGTCATTATGATTAATTAGTATCATGCTAATTTTACCAAATCTATTTCCTAAGTATTAGCATTTAAAATAATTTGGATAATGCGTAAAAATTAAGAGACTTATTTATCTTTGCTGTTCCTTATATGAACCCTTTAATGCCATCCTAAACAGCGTTTCCAAACCAAACCTTCTAGACTTTTCGACAAGTCATACATGGTAGATCTTACCAAAGTCCTGTCTAAACTATACAAAAATATTATACTTAACATCACTTTGTGTCTGTGGACCATCACACCATACTTTGTATTGATGAGCATATTTGTCTAACTGAAAGTATTATTTTTGAAGGACCTGAAAAATGCAGCTGCGTTTGGTGTGGTCTTGATGACCTGTGAAAATGATTAGATTGAGCAAGGGACAACTATTTCAGGCCAGTGCACACATCCTTCCTAAAAGTAGTTTCTGATTTTCTAGCTCTGTGCTTTCAGATATTACAGCCGGTGGTGAGAATCTATAGGACAGGATTCAGTGTGGTATTCTTGGAATTAAACTTCTTTCATCTATTCTTTTTATTATGGGAGGGTATCATTGTTACAAATCCTGGTTATCTAAAAAGAATAACTCACAGTCGTTATACTTCAGTATGGTTGACAAAGCAACTTACAAATTGAAAACTATTTCCTAGTCAACCACGTGCATCTATCATTTTTCCGATTCCTGACTGATCCAATCTGTCAAATTACATAGTTCTCACCATGTTCAATATATATATATATATATATATATATATATATATATATATATATATATATATATATAACCCTCGATTTTGTATCACAATTATTTTAGCATGCTGTATAGTTCACTGTTCCTAATTGCTTCCTACTTCAATAAAGGAATACATGTTCATATTACAAATTATTTTAGCTCATTTTAAACACCCTTTTGTCATAGGAAACCATTAAACCAACCTTTTAATGAATGCATTTCTATAATTATAAAGGTCTTATAACACTTGGCGCATTGTATACTTCAACGTATGTGGGATTTAAAGTTCTCAAATATATGAAAGGAAAACAAAATAAAATTATTAGAGAAGACCAAGAATGTCGAATTGCTCTTGCTCCTTTCATTATAGCTGAACAAGAACGATTATACTTGAAACAATTACGAAAAAATCGCGAATACGAACAGAGTTTAATGGGTGATGTTGCAGGCTGGAAAATTGGTCATTGGTTTGACTACCCAGTTTATCATAATCCTCGAGGTTTATGGTGTGATCCGGATGTAAATGAGTTCTACGCTCATGTTGCTGATTGCGATAAAGATTTGAGGCGTAAAGTGCGAAATCGATACTCTTAAGTTGGGCTGACGACGGGAGGTTGGAAGCACTTTTTATTTTTAAAGGACTGATAATTTGAATTGTAGTTAAATATGTACTAGATCAAATACAAATTTACTGTTGAGACTTTTGCTTTATGAGTCTAATCGCAGTCTCAAATGTTAAATTCTATACCCCAACTACTAGATCCCAGTTCTGACATAATTTTTGTTGGCTGTTTCCTGATTGATCGAATGGGTCATAACGGCTCAAGTTCACGCAGAGCATTGCTCAACTTTGCCCTTATAGTTCAGTTATATCGGATAGGGTTAATCAGATCTTATTGATTTATATATCTATTACTCCTCTGGTTCTTTAGATAGATAGATTTTGTTGACGGTTTTCTCCAAGCATGAAGCTAAAACAGGGGTTCGATTTCATTGATGTCCTTTCTACATACGATTTACGTGTATATATTACAGGTTGTCAAAATTTCAGTACGGATAATTGTTGATTTATATATTATCGGGTTTATTATACACGGTATTAAAAAAAATTTTGCATTCATCGCTGTGGCTTAATGGTTAAGGTGATCACCTTACGACCTCATCAGGTGCTTGTTTCCAATGATACTCTGAGTGAGGTCTTTTTGTGACTAAGAAAAACCTACAAAACAAACTAATCTTTACAGAGCTCTTTCAAGTAAACTATGATAGCCAAATTAATTGTGGCTTACTTCAAGATGCTTTTGACTGATGGGTTCAAACATGTCGGCTTTGGGACAGTTACCACAAATGAGATTAAATAGTTGTCACGTGGTATCTCCAATTAATTGAAACTGATTCTGTGCAATTAGACGCCCGAATGCTTCTTGTGTTATATCTTTGACCATTCATAAAGTCCAGTTAATTACAAACCCTATAAAATCAACATAGTATGTAGTGTACCTGTTGAGAATTGTAAACTGAGTGTCGTTATGACCTGGTAGCTCACTTTTCTACTCACTTGAGTTGAGAGTCTAAGTAGTAATAATATGTCTGATTACTCTCTCTGTTGCGCACTATTGATAGGTTTTGGAGACTGGGAATCCACTCAACCTGTTGATCGTGTGATTACAACAATAATGGTCTTCTCACTAGTATTGTATCCTAATTCAGGATCATTTTGTTGTCTCAATGAAAGTAATTTAAAGGACTGAATCTGACCCTCATAAACGGCATCATTACAGTCAACAAACTGATGAATCCTAAGCCTAGTTAGTGTTTTTTCAATGAAAAATGGTGACTTTAATATTCTGGTACAGTTCAAGCGGATAAAATATTGCTACGAAACAGGATAGACCAAATGCTGTTCTAAAAACACAAGATAAGTGCTTAGTGCAAATGTCGGCGGGCTTATTGTGAGTTAACGGGCTATTCACTGTCCACATATCTTTGTCTTCAGAAGACCAATATTATATATATATATATATATATATATATATATATATATATATATATATATATTTATATATGAGACATGTATTTATTTGGCCTGCAAAGTAAAGCTTTCTACACATTGTTAGTCTGCTTATTTTGAATAACTGGTCGGCCAATCCATTGACGACTGAACCAGAGCAATGAACTCATCAGACTCAAGTGTGTTGTCGTACAAAATAAATTCCCCTTATCTTTGTAATTGCTAATGATGACGTCCCTTTATTAGTGTTGTGGTGGGCGATGTCCGAAATCTGAAACTGATACACAACCTGCTACGCGCTAACCCCTCAAATCGACGAGTGGGAGAAAAAGTCTATTGAACTACTGAATAATATGAATAAATGCTCGTTTATATACATACATTTCTACACCTTAGAAAATGAATCCATTTCCTTGGCAATGATATGTAGTTGTCCTTCCGGCCACTTCAGATTGTCAGCAAGTGATGTGTGGGCGAGAATGATTGGTTGTCTGCTTAGTCAGACATGTAGATGGTCTGATAGGTGTCAGATGAGTTATATATTCCCCTATTATTATTATTGATTGTTCATTGTTGTTGGATCGTGTCGGGTTTTGGTGTGGAAATATATTTACGTTGTGGTCAGGCTATCACGTGTTCTTGATCTAAATTGTGTTGACGTCCTGTAGAATAGACACTGGGAGGGAATCTAGTGTAGATAATCGTTTAAGGTAAACTAACGTCCCATACGTGGAAACCCAACAGTTATAACATTAGACGAAGTAAAACAGAACAATTGGCGACGGGGTAAATACAAAGAACCAAGGGTACAAACCACAAGTTATAACAGCAAGTGACCTCATTTGGTTACTTCTGATCAGCTAACTACATCAAAGCAGATTTATATAATCTCGGCCTTGAGGCACAAACACATTTTTTGGGGGATTAATAGTATTGTCCATTTGCCAAAACCTATTAAGTGTGGCAGGGCTTGTATATACATCCTGCTAGTTAGAAGTCAAGTATTCTGATCACTATGAATACCACTCAAATTCGATCCTCAAATATAAAATTTAACCAGTCTCATCGTTTGTTCATTTAAATTGAAAAAGTATCAGACATACTTATATTTACTTCAACCAGTAAATAAATATAACTCTGTAAAGGAGTACATATTTTCAAGAGATTAATATAAACCCATAAAAGACAGATACATATTCACCAAACAAATCCTAAACGCTCGTTAGTATTATTATTAACTTTTTTATTTGTCAAGTTTCCATTTAACGTAACATTGTTATGCATTTCTTTATTGTAACATTGATCATTCGTACTTGTAGATTGATCATTGTTGTGTTGATCATCAGTTGGATGATTCATATTAATGGTCACTAAACTTGGTTTTCTTGGTAAACCGGTGCCTAGACCAGTCATTGATCCTGTATGGGTTGCTTTTTCCAATGGATAAACGTTTCGACCATTTGCTTTACAATGATTGATTACCTAGAATTTATGTTGTTGGAAATTAAACAGATCAATATAATGCTAAGTGTTGTTCTTTGTAGTCCTACTGTTATAATTGCATCTCTTACCGTATAGTGAACCTATCGCGCAGATGAGAAGAATGACATGAGTATTGAAGTTCAATTACTAAACCGAATTATCATGTATACAAATCACAGCTATGTATGCACGATTGTCCTTCCAATCAAGACAGGGGCATATATACTTATATCTTCACTAGGTGTTTGATCGACTTCTAGTCGTGTGCCTTGTTTTTTACAATTCATCACTTATCGTTTGACTTAAAGATGAAATGTCAACACAGGCACGTGATATATCTTTATTCACCCAGCTTGTGAGATTGTTTAAAGCATTTTAATGTTCGATCATTATCGTATTCTGCGTTAGCTTACTCATTAGGTGAACGCAATAAGTAAAGAATTAATAGTTGGACTATGGGTATTTTCTGACTACTTTTATTATCAGTCATCTGGGCGTTCATTATTTGTATTTTTGACAACATTGTAAAGACATATGTGAGGGGTTGGAGTGATGAAGATAACGTTTATCTCTTATTTACAAGGTATTTGGATAAAATACGCTTGATGAATTAAATGAAGATTTTATCAGTAAGATTAGTCTAGTTACTAAGTTTATAAATTTCCACCAGATTGGTTGTCTAGTGGTTCGCTAGTTCACGATTTGCATTAATAAAGACTCCTAATTTACACATATCAACTTCATATCTACAATGGTAGATTAGCGAATCTAAAATAAGTTGACCATAAAATAATATACTTACAGAAAAATGTATCCTAGATTGATAAATTATGAGTACTTTCTAGAAATATTTAAATTTAGGGGATCAATTATATTTTAAGAAGAAGGAAAGTTTAAATTACTTGTTTGGGTTTGTACGCTGATTGTAATCAGTATTTCGAAACTATATGACCTGTGGGTTTTCATCTCTGGACATATTATCTAAAAATTACAGAGGTAACTAATTCTAAAAAGATGTGTGTGGTTGACGTCATGCAGTTTCCTACAGGACAGTGTGGTCACAATCTCAAGGTCGCCGAGATTACAAGTAGCTCAAGAAGAATTATTCTTTCATGATGTGGGCTACCAGGTGCTGACAACCGCCCTCGCACCTCTAATACGTTTCAGGGTTTATGAACAAATGCTTACTTTTGTCTAACATTATGTGTAGGGCCTAATTTATCCTACAGATATTTTACTAGAACTGTAAACGCAATACTGACGACCCCAGAGTTTATGTTACGGCTATAGTCAGAACAAGTATTGTTATTAAGTAAACTAACAAGGGCCTGTTTCTTTGTTCTTTGTAACAAACTTACTCTCGTTGCGTAATCTTGAAAAGAATTTTCTTCCAGTTGAATCAATTTATTTTCATTGGTTACCGCTTCAATTTCTGCTTTGCGTTCTTTCTTGGCTAGTTCTCGTTTTACCATCTGTATCGCATTTCATAATGAGTAAACATTAATGTATGATTAATTAGTGACATTATTTTACTATTTACTTTGAAAATAAGTAGTCTGAGTTATCAATGCAGCGTGTTATAGGTTTTGGTATTTATTCCAAAATATTAAATTATTAAGTAGTTTAAAAATTTCATTTCTACTAGTATTCTTGGCTTTTGAACAAAATATTCACGGATATCCTCATTAAAAAAAGTTTTTTTTAATGAATTACTCAGACTGAGTGTTCAGTACTACGATTGGGAACTGAAATCGATGTTAAACATTCCTAGTAAACAGATAATTAAACAAGCAATAGAAGTGTTCACGATTAAGCAGAGAGACTTCATCTTTGGAAAAAAAAAGTTTAGTACGGCTGTGGATTCATTAGAAATCATTATAAAGTTAAAAATACGATAATGAACCTCAAAATAATAATTTGACTGGAATGACACATAACTTACTAACTCACACATGTCACTCCTAGTGGAACATCTGCCACCGAATAAGATTCTCTAACGCCTTTTCGACCTAATATGACTAGTCAGATTATGACGAGGTGAATGCGGCTAGAATTTTGTTGGTTAGTTTGTTCTGGAGAGCGATCGTCTTCTGCGTGACCT